AATAGTAATGCACAGGTACAGAGATACCAAAGAGCATGGTACGTTTAAACGATAAATGGGATGCAGTGGAGCAGAGTACAAAGGGAGAGGAAAGAAACCATGGTGGAGAGGTAGGGCCCAGACCAGAGGTCTTGTGGCCTGCTGAGGATTTGAGTCTTGGTTCTGTGGGTGAGGATTTTAAGCAAGAGTACGACTTTGATGGACATGTTGAGTGGTTTGGAAGTAGCAAAAGAGGCACAGAGGCCAGTTATTTAAAAAAATAAAATCCCCATCTGGGGCTTCACTGCTGAATAAGTTGGTCCAAGCCAAGCAAGATCATCGACAAAACAATGAAACAATGATTTGGGAGGATTCATGGTTCAGTCTTGGGTACAAACCAATGGATGGTCTTTGGATGCCCTGGAGTCGGTGAGGAAGGTACCTGTGTAAACGTGAAGATTAATGGCATGGTGAACTTAACTATTTTTAAAGGCATAGCTCAAATTACCCCCTTTTTCTTTCTCTTCCTTAAGACATCCTACCACCACCTACGGCAATGTAAGAAATGCAGATATGAGGAGCTAAATGATAGTCCACTATCTTTCCTTTGGGAAGCTGTGTGCATATTAAAATGTCCGTTGCACATGGTAATCAGTCAGCCAGCCAGTCAACAAACTTTCATTAAGCCCAGCCATGCGCCAGGCAGGCACCAGGCCATGGTTTTTTCCTCCATGAAACTTAATACACTATTGAATCATTATAAAGGTGACTGGTTCTACAAAGGAGTCACATACAGAGCACCAAGGAAACATTTTTTAAAAAGATCTAACCTACTATCTGGGGTCAAGGAAGTTTCCTTTGGTAGGAACATGTTTTTGTATGAAAAATAATAAATTAGACTGGTTTACTTAGTATTTGGGAAGCTAAGTATTTGGGGAGCAAAGCATAAGAGAAAGAAGTGGTTAACTGCAACTTGAGCGGTTGCCGCATTGACAAGCCACCCCGAAACAGTGGCTTTTTAAGAGTCATTTATTAACATGATTCTGTGGTTCAGTGACTTGGGCTGTCTGAGCTGGATGAGTCTTCTGAGGTCTAGCTTAGCCTCATTCATATGGTCAGTCAGCCGATGGCTTAACTAGGACTCAGAGTTTTAGACCAGCCTCACCTGCATTATTTCTGGGCCTCAGATAGGAAGGCGGGGGGTTTCTCCACATGACCTTGACAACAGTAGAGCCAGGCTTTCTTATATAGTCGTGGAAGGATCACCAGCAGCTTTTCTCACACCAGGTTTGTTCACATCCCATTGGCCAAAGCAAGTCTTAAAATCAAGCCCAGATTCAAGAGGTGGAGAAATAGATTCTGCCCCTTGATGGGAAGAGCTGCAAAGTATTTATGGCCATTTTTTACAGTCCATCATCTATGAGCTAACAGTCCCCAGTAAGAACTCTAACCATTATTTAATTCAACAACCCATTACATACAAGAGCAGGGGAGAAGCCCAGAATACTTGATTTGACAGTTGTTTACTAGGGTTCAGCACCCCTGTTCTGCCCCCAATTTCTCTGCTAGCCTAACCAGGCCTTCTCATGCTTACAGGCTGTAGGATGCGCCCGTGGACAGCCTGGTCGGAATGCACCAAACTGTGTGGAGGTGGGATTCAGGAACGCTACATGACTGTAAAGAAGAGGTTCAAAAGCTCCCAGTTTACCAGCTGCAAAGACAAGAAGGAGATCAGAGCATGCAGTGTTCACCCTTGTTAGCAAGGGTCTGAGTTTTCCAGGGTTGCACTCCACATTCCAGTTTCCAATGACTGGGCCGTTTGTTTGCTTGTTTGTTTAAGGCAATTTAAATCGTGTACACTAGTTTTCATTTCCGCAGTGTGGTTCGCCCAGTAGTCTGTGGATGCCAGGGACATCCTTTCTGTATACTTCTTGGTGGGCACAGGCTGAGTAAGTCTCTCTCGTCTTCAGCCGGCCCACCTCCTGCAGACATGAGTCGTGTCAGCCACCCCATACCAAACGGAAATGTGTCCCTCTGGAGCATCACCTGGGCAGCAGAGCAGAGACCCTGTCTTCCACCACATGGAGAGGCTGGAAATGACTATGTGCCTCGGTCCAGGGTGCAGCAGGAAACACTCTCCATTGGATAGAGAGCAGATTCCCTCATTCTCATCTTTAGCCAGCTCTCTCTTGCAGGAAGTGATTGTTTGCCCATCTCTTTTCACTTAGAGGAGCTTTAGGTCCCTTTGTTGAGCCTCCTCAGTCATCGATAGTTCTTGGGGAGAAACGGAGCTGGTTAGATGCGAAGAGGAGCATGGATGCTGAACGGCTTTCAGAATTTCACTGAGAAATTCTGAACACATTTATCTCATCTCCTAATATTGGTTCCCAATACCCCAAAGGAAATGATGGCTCTTTTATTTGAATGTAAGGTTGCCAGTTCTTAGACCTGATGCAAAGAGTAATTAAGTCTAGGAAAGATTTTTCCCTTATTTGTTTTTGGAATTTTTGTTTTTTGCCACAATTCTCCTAGGAAAAGCCAGCCTTATAAACCTTCCGATGCTAGATCCTTACTAGAACTAAGGCCAACACAGCAAAACTGACCTTGCTGGCAGTCCCAACCCTGAATTTTTAAAACCTTCCAACACACATCAAGTTTTCAAACCAGTTCTAACAAGAAAACATTTTTTAGTTATGCAAACATCTTGTAGCCCACCAAGCCACTCCTCCAACAAAAATACTATCTCTGTACTTTAAAGAGTTCTTTAGTCGTAAATTTTTATATGTAGAAAGTGTTGTGAAGACCAAGAAAAACAGAAGTCTAGGGAGAAAAGAATATTACAGAATCAAGCTGGGCAAGAAACTCTGGTGGGAAGTCAAACCTATGTCAGCTCTCCACACTACAGCCGGCCCTCCAACGCATCCATGGTCTTCCATACCCTTCAGAGCACTCGTAAGCACACCAAATTCAGGGAGGCTGACTACCAAGGATTAGTGTAAAAGGACGTTTTACTGAGTTGAGTCCATCAGTTTTTACTCATTCATTTATTGTTAAAAATTATTTGGTTTCTGTTACAGGTCTTTTTCATTCCGCTTAATCCAAATATGTATCATGGATGAGATGCATACAATGCTTTGAATACACTATTTTAAGAATTTGCATTAAATAATCAGGATATTTCCAAACACAACCTATATATGCTATAGCCCTGAATCTGTATTATTTTCTTTAACACAAGAGAGAATTGTTCAATAAAAAACTCATTTGGGTCTGTCTTTTGTGTTTTTAAGCTAATTAAGTGTTGGGTCTGTTTAGAATTGTTATCCACCTCAATTATATTCAGGAATAGATAGTTTTTGCAACCTCGTTGTGGAGAGGCCATTCTTACCCCCATATCCCTGAGTTTTGGGAGCTTTGAGTTGTTTCTGGCATCACTGATGTAACCTTTAAAGTGCTTTCTCCCCCAACAAAGAACATAATATAAAGATATACAACATTTAACTTTCTTAGGAAAAAAAACTCTTGATACAGAATCTGCCTACTTTTGCAATGTTACTCTTAGCTATGTAGAGGCACACTTCCTCTCAACCTATGAAAATCAAAGTTCCTTAGGCTGGTGATACCTAAGTAATTCTAAGGATAAGACACCCTAGTTAGTGTCTCATGTTCTTATTTGGTCCCTATTGGGTACATTTTTAATCCTAATTTTGGAGAGTTAAAACCAGGTAACTGGTTAATGGCTGAGAATGGATAACATGTTTCTTGTTACATAAGTATTATTTCTTTTATTTGCCGGGGGAATTTTTAAGAAGCATCAAATCTCTTTCTTACCAAAGTCTCGTGTTAGGTGATTTATAGTTTTTCTGGCAAACCAATCACTTTGGAAATAAAGACTTTTAACTACAAAACTAAAATTTGTTTGGACTTCCAATAGAGACAGTAAACAGATCATAAAGCACCCAGTAAAAACTGCCATATAGAGAACAGCTATAATTATTGTATATATTTTAATAAATGCCAAAACAGTTGTAATCCAATTTACATCCACATTTTAAGATTACAATAAGGTCAGAGATATATTCCCTAGTCAGTTATTGAGTCACTCACCTGTCACCTTACCAATGCATTGTTTGAAGGAAATCTGTTGTAGCAAATGAGAATAAAGCCTGGGCTTCTTCAGACCCAAAAATGAAAAAATGAAAAAAGATCTTGTGCTGTTTTTAATTTGAACTTTGTGTATTAAACATGTTTTAGGCATACTCAAAGTCTGTGTACTTCTTCCAGGAAGTAAAGATACATTACACATTCTCACATGACTACAATTCTCCAGAAATTTAGTACAGGTCAAGTCTGTGGCTAAAATTTCAATACACAAAAATTCTACATGTCAAATTATTTCTGTGACCTAACAAATAGCACCACGTTTTCCAGGCAATAATTTAAAGGGGTTAAATATTAAAGTGTACCAGGACTGTACGGTCAGTCCCTTTCCCCCGCCCCGAGTTAAATTTTTATATCCTAAAGAAACGGCAATGTTTAATCCCTAATTACAACGCAGAATCAAGGAAGCCATAGACATTCTGCTATTTGGTTATTTGGTGCTATTACTTTTAATAATAGAATGATTCATTTTGTTCTTCACATTGCCCAAAGTTGAGAGAATGAATGAAAATAAATTAGTTCCTTTTGAGAATGAGCGAGATGCTGTAACGAACTATAAATAGCAGCTGAATGCTAATGTGTGAAGATAATTCTTCAATTTAAATCCTTTGAAATCTGTGAGCAACAGATCTATACTAAAATGTCAAATTTAAATAATGACATCCCTGCTTTAGACACTCTGTCCGTTCAGAAGGTCTTATACACTCTGTAGGGCACAGAGGCAGAAGTCATATAACGGTGAAGCAAGGGGAATCTGGGTTCTAACCCTGCTACATCCCTGAGAAGCAGAGAGAGCTGGAGCCAGTTATTTCACCTTTTCTGGCCTCAGGCTTTCATACAAGCCTTCTTATACTAAAGGACTTCTCTACTCCATCTCCACAATTTAGCCAATTCTCACCGTGAGAGCAAGTCCTGATGGTATCCTGACATAGGAGTCACTGAAAGCGTTTTACCCCACCAGTCCTTCGCTTCTTTATAAACCAACCAGTAAACTCCCACTCTGTGTTGAAGCTGGCTTGAGTTGTATACCTGTCACTTATAACTGAAAATATCCTGACAAATAAAATATACATGTAATATTTTTACTCAGGTATCACCAGAGCAAAATGTAATTTCAGACTTTTCATTCAACATTCATAATGTCATAACATAAGATAGCATTCATTAACATTTTCTCATATTGCTCTAAATTCTCCATAAACCTCAGAATATGTTCTCAACTACTTCCTGGCTTTAGAATTGATCGGTAACGGTTCTCATATTTTAAGCAGTTATGTGTTTAAAGAGTTCTTTATTTCAAATAATTTATTTCAAATAAGTATTAGCAGAAGGGAAAGGGGAAAACATCATATTCAAGACTACTGACTACAATAGATTTTATAAAAGTAGAACCTCTATTTTTTTCTAGTATTGGCATGTAACTCCTACTGGGTGATCATAACCGGAAATATCCTAGCCTATCTGGGAAGTCCAAAGTCCCACTTGTGAAAAATACATGAATCTCCCACTCCCTTACCTATGACGTGAGTGCTACTCCAATCAAGGTCTGCAGCCTAAGACCAACCACAAGCCACTCGTTATCATCCCACAACGAGATGCAGAAATTGAAAGCAAACGCTTAGAAACTTTTACAACAATTTGACATTGCACAATATCCAAGAGTACAGTTATTTTCCTAGGGATTCATTTTTTTAATTACATTTGGCAAAAGTATCAGTCCACAATGGTAAAGGTGAAAATTTTTTTAAAAGGGCCCTTCACCACAGATAGTCAGGGAAGCATTGTACTATGCCAACTCTCACTCACGGTCAGGAAAGGACACCAGCCTGCAAACCCTAGGCTTCCAAAGCTCTCAAATGCTTAAGCATCTACACAGTAATAGCTACTTCCAGACTTATATACCTACATATCTTCAAGTAAGTACCCTGCACTGGCTCTTTTTCTTACTCCTCTAATATCCTACCCTATCAAGTGAGATAACAGCTCCAACACCCCCTGATTTTACCACAGAATTTCTCAGAAAGTAGCCTACGCTTACTTCATCCAGTTCCTTGCCCCTCCAATCACATTTCAACCTGTTATAATCTGGTTCCAGCAACCCGATGAAACAAATTTCTCAAAGTCATGAGCAACCATCATCCCTGCTGCCTCTTAATCCCCCGTTCTTGCACCGCACTCAAAGCTTTTCACCCCCCACCCCCATCCTTGACGATAGTCTGGTTCTCTCCAAATTCTGACTGCTTCTCATCGCTTTTTGCTGCCTCCTTAATCTTCTACTTCCAAATGTTCCTTTCTCCTAAAAGTTTAACCTTTGGACTTTCCCTCATACACACTACACTTCAATCCACTCCATCTTCAATCATTAGCTCAAAATAGGTAAAACTCAAATCTGTAGTTAGTCCTAGACTCTTCTTTTGAGTTCCACTCCCCATCCCCAAATGCCTCCTGAATTAACTCTATATGTTAATTGCCACAATTACCATATATTTCTATCACTAGAGGATTGCCTATGCTCCTTATTCATTCATCAAATGGTGGTGGTGGTGCCAGGCAATATGGGTAAGGCAATAAACACAGTAGACATGGTTCTGCCCTTATCGACAGACCTTATGACTAAGGTCCAGGTCAGACAAGACAGACAAAATAGTCATAGACTATAAGTGTCCATAAGTAAATACGAGGTAGTGTGATAGTAGAATGGGTAGTCTAGGACTCTCAAGGAGGTGGCGTCTAAGCCAGGAGCAAATGGATGAAACAGCTAACTGGAATAGTTGAGGGAAGCAACTGATTTGGAAAATATATGGTGTGTTTTAGAGTGTAAGAAAGCAAATTGGCTGAATGTGAGAAGCAGAACGATGACAGTTCCTTGAACACTACGGTAAGAAGTTTGGATTAGTCCAAGTGCACTGAGATGATAACAGATTTTAAGCAGCAGTGGAACATTTATGGTCTAAAAACATCACTTTGGCCACATTGAAATAATAGCTTTGGAGAACAAAATGGAAATATAAAGACTACTTCAGAGGCCCTTGTAGTAACCTCAGTTTAAGATCAGGGGCTTAGACAAAAGTGGCAGAACAAACCGAAAACAGACAGATTCCATGATGCCAATAACCTCTTACCTGACCACCCTTCCTTAAATCCACACTTCCGTTGCTCACTCTACCACTAGATTAGATCCAGGTACCCTTTGTTCAGAATCCTTGGCAGCTTTCCATTATATAGAAGAGCCATCCTATGTAAAGCGCTCCACGACCCAAGCTGAGTCTCCTTTACTACTTTGTTCCCATTGCACTTAACGATCCTTTTAGATTAAGGTTCTAATCCCAGAATACACCCTGCATTCTGCCAACTCTGTGCCTTTACCCAGGTATTTTCCCACCCTTTCCACCGGCTCCTCTCCCTGCCCCACCTCAAATCTTCTCAACCTGTGACGCTCCAGTTAAAATATCACTTCTAATTAAGCTCCCTCAGATTTTCCAGGAAGAATATACACTATCACTTCTGCTGGACCTGACAACTTTTTGCATGCTTCTAACACTCTGCCTTAACTCTACAGTTGTTGTCACTTTTCATCTTTCTTCACTAGATACTGAATAATTTATAGGAAGTAAAAGTTCCGATTTATCCATTTCTCCAGAATACCAGTAAGGTCTTATACAAAGAAATCTGTTAAAACACCCTTTTTCTAAAAAGCACTTTGAAACTTTCTAAGCAGTCACTAGTTAATTACCTATAAGTGGTCAAGTGATATTGAAAGTGGCCACTTTATCATCACCTCCTCCTATTTACCTGCCAGTTATCTGTTCAATGTGATCATTATGTATAGGAATAGAAAAATAAATAAATAAGAAAAGTGGTGATGAAACCACGTGTAGAAGAGGAACAGGTTAGACCTTAAGTATATACGACCTTGTTATGTCAAATTTTAAAAGTCAAATGATAAAGTAAGGAACCCATTTATATTATAAAACTCAAAAGCCTCAAATTTAGAGAATCATCAATGTAAGACATATGTCAATAGGGCATAATGTCCAACTCTAAAATATTACAAATCCTTCAATAACATAGGGAGAAAATTCCTAGGATAGAAATTCATGACTGTCAATTCAGG